CATGATTTCTTTGGAGGTAATATATCAAATGAATTTTTATAAATTGAACATTTTCCTAATAAGTTACAGTATCAAGAATATGATTATTTCCAACTGGTTTTTGTTTGACGTTGGCACACAATTTTTAAAACTGGGTTTCTTGAATTTTATTAGCATGATGTCATCAAGGTCATAGACTGGTGAGGTCTGATGGGATAGTGAGACAAGCAAGTTCCTTGCAGAAATTATACCATCAAGTCCATGTAATTTTGAAGCAAGATAGGAAAGTGTACTTCTCTTTAGGTAGTGAAAGTCCACTCTCTCAGATGTTGTCTGCTTATTGGGTAGAAAAAAAACATAATTGCTGTATTAGCACTTGCTTACCAAGTCTCAGGGGCTGTGGTGATTTGTTCCAGCACAGAGATCATGTCTGGAGCAGTAGGTATAATTAGAGCTACTATTACACCAAGTTTATAATCTGTGATATTTTCCAGGACCCATCTGTGTTCTGCTCCATTTAAATGTGCAGGTCAAACCACCCATATAACCATACTCACAAGCACACACTTCACAGTATCTTTCAAGTTGGTGATAGTGGCGCCCATTTCTGAGGTCTGCATAGATATGCAGTATCACTTGGTTTTTTTCTTTAAATGGGGGAGGAAGCTTCAGGGCTTTTCACTTGGCCTTTATTCCGCAGTAGCACTCACGGAGGGCTCTGCTGGCTGCTGCTATTTCTAATTCAACTCTATATTCAAGAATGAGGGAAGTAAGCACTGGTTGGGTTCAGAGACTTACTGGGTCTACCACGGATAGACTGACCACCATAGTGCTGTTCTGGGTCCCAAAGAATTAGCATTGACTGAGAGCTAATCAACCCTGAAAGGTTCTTTTTCCCCAGAATATAATTACCTGGTAAATAGTTATGATTCCTTCTTCGGGGAAGACCAGGGAAGAAAATTATGGTGTATATTTGTTGTGTTATTGCCCAGCCCTTCCTCACCAGTGTTGGCTTCTTTCTTGATTTTGTTTCAGAGGCTCTGAGCCTGTAAAGTGACTCAGGGATAGAAACTGGGTGAAAGACAATGTTTTTGCATGGTGACTCAGGTCACACATCTGGTCTATTTCTATTCCTTCTTCTTTTTAAAAAATATTTTTAAAAAATAGATCAAGTTAGAGTTTAGTTGGCTGTGTATCTAATTTGGTCCTATGTCTTCATGGTCAGTCAGCCACCACCTAAGACCACGCTGGCTGCACCACTCTGATCAGGTGGTGCCCGTTAGCTCGTCTTGCTTCCAGGGTCACGCCACTCTCCACTGCCTCGTGTTCTAGTCGTCCCTGCCGAAACCAGGAAGCTCATTTCAGTAGAAGGATCTCCAGGCTCTTCCCCTGGCTTACACAGGACATCTGTACTGCTTCTCAGGGATGCCGGCCCTTCCATACGCAGTGCATTTCTCAAAGCCAAGGTGAAAGGAGTATCCCTGGGTCCTCTTGGGGGACACGGCTGGGTGAACAGGTTGCAGATGCTAAATTAACAACAGCCTTTTCTTGCTAAGATGTTGGATTCTTCATTTTTTTTTTTTTTTTTTTTATCCTCACCCGAGGACATTTTTCTATTTTTTTGTACAGATAGAGTGGGAGGGAGAGAGAGGAAGAGAGAGAAAGGGAAACATCGATGTGAAAGGGACACATCGAATGGTTGCCACCCGCGCGACCAACCAGGGCCGGGGACAAACTGCAACCGAGGTACATGCCCTTAGCGGGAACCGAACCCGGGTCTCTCCGGACCGCAGGCGGACGTTCCAAACGCTGAGCCAAACCGGCCAGGGCAAGATGTTGGATTCTTGCCCCCACATGACACCAAGGGATTCCTGGCACCTCAGCTTTAGTTGTGGCCATGTTTGAGTCCAGGTGTTAGTCAAGCAATGGAGCAAATAGTTTAGAATCATCTCCAGCGGCTTGAGTTAGCCCTGTGAATGAAACATTTCTGATGGGCATCTACATTCAGCTGATTGGAAAAGTATGATTCGCCCTGATAGGTTTGGTTCAGTGGTTAGAGCGTCGGCCTGTGGACCAGAGAGGCCCGGGTTCAGTTTCCGCTAAGGGCACGTACCTCGGTTGCAGTTTGACCCTGGCCCTGGTTAGGGTCATGTGGGTGGCAACCACTCAGTGTGTCTCTCTCGATGTTTCTCTCTCTCTTCCTCCCTCTCTCCCTTCCCGCTCTATCTGAATATAAATGCAAAAAATGTCCTCTGGTGAGGATTAACAAACAAACAAACAGAAAAGTATGATCCTTTTTGCCTATGGTCGAACAGTCTTGGACTCTCTTTTTCCACATGGTCCCAAAGTTTTTCCTCTAGAAATGAACAATATCTTGCAGTTTTTTTCTGTGGAAGTCTGTTTATATGTTTGGAGGCCATGGGGGATGGAGGAGATCAGGTGTGAGGAGAGCTGGTGTTCTCTTGTGTGACAACTGCCTGAGCTGGCTGGAGTCCTCGTTCTGCCTTTAAGCAAGGTGGCACTCATCTTATCAGACAGGGAGGGCCCGCCTCTGCTGGATCCTCAGTAGGGTTTAGGGGTTCCTGTTAGCCAAGCCATCCCAAATGTCCCCATTTAAATTCCCTCCCTCCCTCCCTTCTTCCTTTCTTTTTTTCATCTCACTGGATTTATTTTGAGTCTTATACTTTCACTGATCAATGCCCTTCCCTGCTCCAACCCTCTCGCTCTAACAACTGCTGCAGTTATTGTTGCTATTTAACAAACTGTGTCAGCTTAGGTGGCTTAAAACAGCATTAATTTACCTCTCATTGTTTCTGTGGAGCAGAAATTTAGGGATGGCTTGACTGGGCCACTTGTGTGAGAAAGATGAGGTGATACAATAATAACTGTAAATGAATTTTGATAAATTGAACATGTGCATGAGTAGCCCTAGAGAAATCAATAAAAAAATAATAAAATGATGTGTAGCTAAAAAGCAAAGAGGAAATAAGACGAATGACTGAAACATATTTGATTAATCCAATCAGATGCCTTGCCTTTCTCATAGAGCTGGTGAAACTGAATTCATCCTGTACTGTAATTCAGCAACACTGCCGGAGCAGTGTCTATATTTGTATCTTGGCTATACCAGCTTGATAGTTAAAAGGGAAAAGAAAATCTTTTAGGTAGTCATAGAAATTCCCTGGTTGTCTTTGAAAATGTAAAACACGGTGTCATTGCCTTGTTTGAGCTGTGTAATGAATTTAGAAGTAGCCAACCTACCTTACACGTGTGTTCTCTCACCGTACCCTATCACTCAGCGCACAAAGCCTTGCATTAGATAGTGCTTCATTCTAGTTACCACAGGTGATAACTTAAGTAATCTTTTTATCAGTGGACTAACAGTGTTCTACTCTTTCATGATCACTTGGATCCTCATTGTCTTCAAATCCAACCAGATTAGATAACTAATCACAAATACTCATTTTCTAAAGGGTATGTTGCCTATAAGCACTTCTATAACCAGTTACTATGATGGCATTGTTTAATTCAGACCACAGAATGCACTGGATCTAGTTAAAGCAGGAAAGAACTGATTAAGTACGTTAGCTGGCAGAATTTCTGGGAGGGTGTGGGTGTCGTGTTTCAGTGCCATGCAGCAGGAGAAGTGCCTGCAGATGCAGTGTGAGAGCATTTCAGCACGAATCCTGCGTGGTCACAGTGTTACACGTGATGTGGTTGACTGTGCTCTCTGAGAGAGAGATTCAGCCAACTTTATGAGAGAAGGGGGGAGAGAGAGAGAGAGAGAGGTGACCTTACAGAATTCTGGTTAGATGCATTAATTAATAACTATTGTATTATCTGTGAATAAAGGAATTATATCGGTTATATTTTAAAACTTCATATTTATTTTAGATATTTAGGACTTAGAACTGTTTTTCCTCAGAATGTATTTTATAAATTCTGGTTCCATTTTCAGACTAGGCTTAAAGAGCCTCCATAACCCATACTGTATCAGGAATGCAGAAGAGCCAGCATCCAAAGACAGCATTCCAAAACTGTGGAAGCATACCTGTCTTGTAAAAGATTGTACAAAATTTAGGCTGCTTAAATTAAGAATGATAGATATGTCCAACCTAAAGAAAATCCAATGCACAGGCTTTAAGACTGCCAACTATGAGAGTTAGGGAGTCTAAAGTGTCCTTTTAGCTACTACAGGGTGGCCTCCTGGCCACCTTCACCCACTGTGGCCATGGCAGCCTGGGGATTTTGGCGGCTCCACTGCTGTTCTGTGGAGTGATTGTGTGAGGATGAACAGCAGCCCTGTTTCCATGCTTCCCGGTCTCTGTTGAACTCAATCAGAAATGGAGTCATGGACACTAGTGTGGTACCAAGTGCAGAATTAGCTCGGGTGGGGAGGTGAGTCTGCATGTGAACACGTGAGAATGATACCCAAGCCTGTGCAGTGTGTGGTCCTTAACTGCTAAGCGAATGGATTGTCTGGAAGCAGATAGATCTGTGTTGGCAGGTTTTATCCGGGAGGGAAGATGTAGTTTGGTTAAGAGGTAGGTGCTTAAAGGTGCCTATTGAATTGTACCCTCTTCCTTCTTTTATAAATGTCTCAGAATCCCAGGCTCCCTGAGTTTACCACTTTAAAAAAGGAAAAACATGCTCGTCAATGCCGTTGGATAGAGGTGAATTAAAGGTGCCGCTGCTCTAACAAATGAAGGGACAGCCAGAGGGGGGAGCAGGGAACTGGGGAGCAAAATGGGTCCCCCAGATTGTGACGTAAGCTTCTCCTTGGTGCCTTTCCTGAGGGCTCTAGATGCCAGCACAGCAGCGCCCCCCTCTGATTCCCTACCTTCTCTTTCACGTGCACCCTGTTTGTTTCTCATTGTCTCCTTGTCAGCCTGTGTCCTCGATGCATGAAATAACCCGGTCATCTCAGACTCTGGAAATAAAATAAAATGTTGGATTATGTGGGGGGGAAAGATGTATATATCCTAAAAAGATAGCAATTTCATTATTTCCGTTTTTTCTAGGCAGAAGAAATCCTTAGGCAAGAGCTGGAGAAAAAGGAAACACCCAGTTTGTACTGCCTGCTTGGCGATGTCCTCCGCGACCACTCTTACTACGACAAGGCCTGGGAGCTGTCCCAGCACCGCAGCGCCCGCGCCCAGCGCTCCAAAGGCCTCCTGCACCTGCGGAGCAAGGAGTTCGCCGAGTGCGTGCAGTGCTTCGAGCGCTCCGTGAAGATTAATCCCATGCAGGTCAGTGCCTTTGATTGCGGTTCTTACTGAATGAGTGAGTACCCGCTTCCGTCCTGATGGCTGCTGAGCGTGTCTTTGAGAGCTGGGAGTCCGTCTCTGATGCATGTCTTGCTTGTCAGTGACGGTGGGTGAGTAGGCCTCCCTTACTCACTTTCTGTTGTTTCTCTTACTGACTTTTCTGTTTCATTTTGTTATTTCTGTTAGTCGTCCTTAAGGCAAATATAGCTATTAAAATTAGGTTCCATTTTGAAAAGCTATGTTAGGAAGGAAATGAATCAGAAGTAAAATTACAGACAGCATAGGACTGCAAGTAATTGCTGAAATCAATAATGAAAGAAAAGCTTTTGTGTAAACAGGGTAACATAGAACGGATTGTTGTTCATCGTAGGAAAACATGTTTACCAAGCATTTGCTATGAGCCAGGCACCGCACTGGACCTTTGCCAGCGGGTGGACCCAGACGACCCGACTCTGGAGCCCGCACGCCTTTGTTTCAGTGGTGGTGAAAAGCACGTCCCATAATTCTTCCGTCTTAACCATTTCTGACAGTTCAGCGTGTTAAGTGCGTTCACACTGTTGTGCGAGCATCACCACCGTCCATCTCCACCACCTTTTCATCTTGCAGAGCCAACTCCCTATTCCCGCCCCCTCTAGTTGCGAGCAGTCGTTCTGCTTCCTGCCTCTGACTGACGACTCCAAGCACCTTGTAGGCGTGGAATCATACAGCACATTTCCCTTTGGGACTGGTGCAGTGTCCTCAGGTCCATCGTGCTGTAGCTTGTGTCAGGATGTGCTCCCTCTTTAAGGCTGAACCCCACTATGTGGATACACCACGTTTGGCTGGCCGTTCACCTGTCAGCGGGTACTTGGGTCGCTTCAGCCTCTTGGCTGTTGTGAAGGATGCTCCCATGAGCACGAGTGCGCAGAAATGGTCATTTTTGAACTTGGTAGACTCAGAGCTTGTCTTTTACAGTGAAAACAGATCACTGTCTTTTTTTCTTTCTTTCAATGTTTATTACTTTATTTCCATTACAGATGTTTCTCCTTTTTCCCCCATGGACACTCTCCTCCCCATCCTGCCCCTCTCAACCCCCCAGCATTGTTGTCTATGTCCCTTGGTTACGCTTACATGCACAGATCACTGTCTTTTCAACATTCAAGCATTGACATTGTCCTCCCGCCTCCCTGGCCACTACTCCTCCGCCTTCTCTGCTGGTTCCTACATGTGCCCTAGGGCCCTGTCCTTGGGCCTTATCTTGTCTCTGCTCTCCCCCTTGGTTCATCCCTAGCTTTTAATACTGTCTGTACACTGACAACTTCCAAAATTTATTGCCAGTCCAGTTTTCTCCTACACTCCTGTTTCTGACTGCTTCCTTAGTCTTCCCATTTGTGACTCTTACATTTCCAGGGTCCAGAGTCCTGTCCTCTCCCTCCTGAAAACTCCCCACCAGGGTCAGCCCCACTGGGTCTTAGGGTCATCCGTGAGTCTTCTTTCTCTTCCACCACATGTCTGCTCCATCAGTAATCCTAGCAGACTGCCTTCCTAACACATCTAGAATCAGACGACGTCTTGCCACCTGCGGCGTTCTGAGTCAGCGCCCTATGGTCTTTCCCCTGATTGACATGTTGTCTTCTCACCGTCTTCCTATCTCTGTGCTTGTCCCCATCAGCTTGTTCTCAGTGAGCGCCCAGATCGTCCTTTCAGATGCAAGTCAGGGGTGTCATCTCTGCTCCATTGCCTGGTGACAACTGCCAGAGTCCCTCTCAAGTCTTCCTCAACTTGCCTCCTGTTGCTTCCTTCCCTTCCTCCTCCCACCCCCCGCTCCCTCGGCACACTGGCCTCTGTGTACTCACTCCCCTGAATACTGCAGGCACATCCTGCCTCAGGCCTCAGCACCTGCTGCTCCTTTGCCTGGAATGTTCTTCTTGTGGTTATCTGCGCACCTTGCTCCATAGCCTCATCCAAGTCTGCTCAAATACCACTTTCTCAGAAAGGCCTTTGTGATCATTCTATTTTAAATCACATCTCCGCCTTATACTCCTTAATTTCCTTTTCTGCATTATTTTTCTTCATAGCACTTAGAACCTTCTAATATCACATATAGCTTACATAAAAAAATTCTCTTTCTCCTCCACTAGAAGTAAGCCTTATGAAGGCAGAAATCCCATCTGTGTTTTTGTACTGCTGTAACAGTGCCAAGCACTGGGTATTCAGTGAATATTTGTTGAATGAGTGAATAGATAATATCTTTAACCATCTATTCAGATAAATATACTGATGGTCTGCTGCGCACACAGCATTAGCCCAAGGATGGAGCAGTAGCAGCATGATCACCAGGTAGTTCTGTCTGTACCCCTGGTACAGTCCAGGCACAGAGACTGCGGCCGAGTACGCGAGGCAGCAAAGAAAGAGAGAGAGTTACTCGTAGAGCACTAGTTACATAGAGGCCAGAGGGAATACTCCTGCCCTCCGTGACATGGAGAGGGTGTTGGACTTGGCTTTAAAGACACATAGTACTTAAAGAGGCCCAGGAAGGGCAGTGGTGAGGGCGTTCCGGGAAGCTGAGCAGTATGAACAAAGCTCTAGAGACAGACAAAGAAGGGGTGTGTGTGAGTGTTGGGGTGCAGAGGGGTGAGTGAAGAGGCTCGATTTTCAGAGTCAGAGGGAATAGAGCAGTGCTAGTGGGAAAGCTAGACCGGAGCCAGAGCACGAAAGTCTTCACTGTCTTCGGCAGATAGGGCATTGGGGGTTGATCTGTGTTTGCCATCGCTGGATGAAGGAATGTGTGCTCATGGAGGTAATTTAGGAATATTGTTTTGGCAGCACAGTGGCCTTGGAGGAAGCTCAGTGTAGGCAGGGTGAGGAGACGAAGCAGTCTAGCGTGACGGGGATCGGGGTGGAAGGGCTGCAGGAAAGAAGGGCTGGTTGTGAGGGAATTTGCGAGGGAGGACTTGACAGGGCTTCATGGTCTCATATAATTTTGAACTAATTATTTAGCGAGACCAAAAAACGACAGTTGTTCAGAGCAGCACAGACAGATGTCATGGGAGGCTATTTTGCAGTCTGTCCTATGGACCCGCTTCAGGCAGGCTGCAAGCCATGCCGGAATGTACAGGCACTTGCTGCTGCCGTGGACAGGCTGCTGCAAGGGGCGAGCCTGAGCACCGCAGGCTCCTGACTGTGGTCCAGGTTTGAGCCGTCTCTGAGGAAGGACAGCTCCCGTGTGCTCCTACCTCCGTTAAGTCCTGGAGTAAAAGGAAAACAGAAAAACTGAATTTAAAGCATTCTACCTGCTTTTGTCACACATGTCCATGCAATTAGGTTTAATAACAAGATTTAGGCAAAATGAGAGTGATATTTGAATGGCTTTTGTGCATTGTAATGACTTTCTGAAATCAAATTGATATAAAAATATGTGTTTGGTCTTATGGATCAAGGATGGTCTGCAAAATGCAACATGTCATCTGTGGTGCATTTGTTAGACAACCAGAAGACGTGTATGCCATTCACAGCATCTGTGCTTTGGAGATTGCTAGCTGTCATTCACTTACAAATTCATCAGAAAAATGTCAGTGACATGGTATTAGAATCAGATATGACCAAGGAACAGATTAAAATAAATGAATACCTAAGAACAATTAAAGTAATACGAATTCCGTAACATATTGCAGAAGTGTCCAGATGTCATAAATGTGTAGCTTGATTGATATTTCTTTTGTTAGTTTTAAATGTTCAGGTAATCAGCACTTAAACTTTTAAAATTTTAATATACAGTGTTTTTATTTTTCAAAAATAATTTTACTGCTGCAAACAGTTTTCAAATGCAATGATCTTATAGATCCCTGATAGAGTAAAACCAATTTGTTGATCAGCAATTTGTTGGCCAATAAATTAGGTCTTTTTTAAGTCATATCATTTTAATTATTTTAAATGCTCCATTTTACTTTAAAAATGTTGCAGTTTGAACATTGCATTATGTGGCTGCCTAACTAGGTGTTATCGAGATCCTGCTGGGCACCAGGCCGTGGGAATGAATTTGGCTGTGTCAGCCGATCAGCAGAGAGCAGAGAGTTCCGCTGGGAAATGATAGGAACAGAACTAGTTAGTGAAGGGTCTCAGATGCCTTTCTTCAGGGTTATCTAGCCGTCTGGATGTGGAAGTCGGTTGTGGTTTTGAATAAAAGAGTGATATGTCAAGAGCGGTCTTATAGGAAGTTTAAATAAAGAATGACTGTCGTGGATGCCTGCCAGTGGCTGTAGCAGGAGGGCGGAGAGACGGAACAGGCTGAGGTCTCTTTACAAAGGGAACGTTTCTGCGCTTCATTCATTGAGCTGCCAGGAATGAGGGAATCCAAGAGGATGTCAGTTTTCTCAAGTGTCATATTGAAAAGGAAAGTGTCCCTGTCGAGAGATACCGAGACTTTAGGAGGAAGGGGAAGTACCTTCGGCATGGGGAGACGTGCTTTTGGGTGTTGACTGTGAGGAGATGTCGCTGTATCTAAGCAGAGGTCTGAGAGTTCACAGGACATAAAACCTGAAGCTCCTAGTGAGGCCAGAACACAGCTTCCAGGCTGGGGCTTTTCCATGGCGTCAGGCGAAGCCATGCCAGTGAGTGAGATCTTCACAGAAAACTGTGGGAAGAGGACACCAGGCAAACCCTGACCTCTGGGCGTCTCCCGCAGCTGGAGGAAGGAGAAGAAAGAGCACCAATAAGTAGCATTTAAACGTAGCCCTCCCGAAGGAAACCAAGGAAGGGACTCATGGAAACTAAAGGAAGGTTGTTGGTGTTTTGGGATGATTCAGCACATGACAGGAAGTGAGTCTCTACAAGACCAGGGAATTTTAGAGAAACCGAGGCAGCCCTTCCCAGCCCATTCTTACAGCACACCAGACTTCTGTGATATACTCTGTGGTTTTAATGATCCTGGGAACTTATACTCTGTCTTGATTTGTAGGGGTGAACTTTATGTCTCATTTTAGTGTTTGAAAGAAGAAAATCTT